AAAGCTTTATTTTTGCCGAGAATATGAAACTTTGAATTTTGCCTGAAAATCTGTATGTGTAAGATCAAGTGTCCAGCAGTTTATATAAACTGCTGGACAATTGCTTTCGAACAAGGTAAATATCGCCTAACTTTCAAGCTCGATATTTTTGGAACCAGACTAGATATCGACCTGCGGTTTTCACGGGCTGACAGATTGACTTTTTGTGAAAAAAATTGCTATTTTGAAATTTTTTCAAATGTCTACTTTTTTTATACAGGGTGTTAAAAGAGTCCATGTTTTTCATCCCAATTTTGAATGTGTGTAACTTTCTCAGATAATTTTTAAAATTTTATTTCTATGCGGCGTTTTAATCAATGATCTTCTGCAAAAAAAGTTATGTCTCAAATTTTTTATACCTGCCTTAGTTTTAAAAATATCGACTTTTTTTCACAACCTCCACTTTTTTCAACTTTTAAGCACCTAAATCATCCTGTGCAATAAATCTTGCATCTTATGCTGCTGTTTGATATACCCCACGATATCCTGGTTTATTTTCAATAAAAAAAAATTACTTAAATAATGTGGTGTCCAGTAGCGTACTAATAATCGCCCATTTTCGGAATAATTTATTAATGGCTCACCGAATTTTACATTCAAAGGTGCATAATTTTAAAAATAATCATTTGAAGTTTCATTTGTTTAGTTCACTTTAATCACTGACATATTATTAAGAAACCAATTTCTCAAAATTTTGATATTTGCCTTTGTTTTTAAAATATCGTTTATTTAACATAACCATATTAATTTTTTCGATTTTTCTGAATCGTTCTTACCGGTGATTTTTTTTAGCAATTGTTATACCTTTCAGCCAGGGTATTTACTATGATTAAAAATATCGAATACCTCAATGATATGCTGTAAAGTGGCGTGCAAAGAGAAATTATTATTTTTCATTAAATCAATTTTATTAGCAATTGTTATATCTTCCGATTAGCGTATTTTTATGATTAAAAATTTCGAATACCTCAATGACATGCTATACAGTGGCGTGCTAATAATTATTTATACCACTGATAAAATTTAAATATTCGGAACCGATTTCGTTGTGGTGAGAGGAAACCCGAATTTTTATTACCTGCTAATTTTCTTTATAGCTTCATGTTTAAAGGTATTTCAATTAAAAATTCTTTCACTAATGGTAGCAGTATCACAAAATGAAGTTAAGGATGGTAAATTACATTATCTGCCAAACAAAAAATTATATGAACAACGTTAATGCTTCTTTAAGTTCATTCAAAACAAAATACAAAAAATGTTCCTATAGGTTTTTTACGTTATGTTTAGGATGACGTCGTAGAACAAGGACTGACAATGTTGCCAATGCCTATTTTTTTCCTTATAATTTACCAGAATGTAATAAAAAATTATCAAGACCACTGGCAGCTAGAAAGAACAAAATGAATCGACTCGTGTTATTTATTTGAAGATGTTTATTCAAATCATACAACGTCGCGCGCTGTTGTCAACCGGTAACATCTGAAATTCCCCTACTTTAAATGCGTTAAGAAGTACTTTCAGTTTAGTTAGGTAGATACCTAGGTAAAACGAATCAAAATAAGTGAACTAAAAAACTAATCAAAGTAAGATTCAATAACAACAACAAAGTGACCTAAAAGTTAAGTAATAAACAACGTAAACTAAAAAAAATAATAAAGAACGACCGATAATCAAAGTTATTTAATTAATAGCTAGTAAGCCCTCCCCTCACATTCACAACCTCTTGGCATCGCCGTGGCATGTTTTCAACAAAGAGATTAATGAATGCCTGAGGGATATTTTGCCACTCTTCTTCTATGGTAAGTGCGAACTTATCCAGCGTTTGGGAGCATTTTCGCGCGATCATACCAGTAACTTAGGCTGAGACCACACAAGATCAGGAGATTTTGGAGGCAGGTGTAACTGCTGCATGTTATGGTCCCCCAAAAGCTCCTAAACAATTCTTGCTTTATGTGGTCTCGCATTATGTTCAACCAATTTTGTACTCTGGTTTATACCAAGTTTCACTTAAAAGGGCAATATCAAAATTAGTATCTTGTAATAAGTTTTTTAACAAATTATGGTTTGAATACGCAGATCTGGCATTCCAGTGAATTACAGTTAGTTGTTGTGTGAAGGCTGCCATTGTTGAAAGATATTTTTGAGGGTATTATTGATTATACAGGGTGTCCCAGAATATGTGGGCAATCTCTCGGATTCAGATAGAACACAAAAAAATAACATGACAACTTCCTATAAAAAAAAAAATTCCTACGGCCCCCCCTACGAAGTTACGTGCCCCTAAAGGACGCCTCTGAAAATCGGTTTTTTGTTGATAACTTTCAAAATACTTCGTGTAATTTTTTTTTCTTTTGATATGATGGATACTAGGTAAGACCTCTTAAAATGGACCCTTTCAAACACACTTGGCCAATCTAGTTTGCCAGGGACGGACTAGCTTTAACACAATAATGCTAATTTTTTTTACACCCTGTATGATATAAGCATAGCAATAATGTTTTTAGATTGTTTCAACCTTGAACTAGAAAAAAGGTACTCTTATTCGATGTCAAAAAAATGAGCTGGTTTCAAGAAAACTCTGTTTTTGTGTATTAATGGTTTTTTAATAAATAATTTTTTATGTCGACTCAACATGAGATCCTTCTAATCTTATGCATTCCATACCTATTTTAATAAAATATTGTTCGACTCTCGACAATGCTTCAATATTAGCCCTTATTTCGCGAAAGTGAAAATTAATCCTTTCTACTAATATTTCCTCAGTTTTATTATTGCGTTAAAGCTAGTCCGTCCCTGGCAAAGCAGATTGGTCGAGTGTGTTTGGGAGGGTCCATTTTAGGGGGTCTCACCTAGTATCCATCATATTAAAAGAAAAAAAATTACACGAAGTATTTTGAAAGTTATCAACAAAAAACCGATTTGCAGAGGCGTCCTTTAGGGGCACGTAACTTCGTAGGGGGGGTCGTAAGAATTTTTTTTATAGGAAGTTGTCATGTTATTTTTTCGAGTTCTATCTGAATCCGAGAGATTGCCCACATATTCTGGGACACCCTGGTATAGCCTATATTTTCTATTATATTTGATACATTAGGAGATTTCTCACCCCTGATTGAAATATTTATTTGACAAGTTAAATCTTCAATTATTTTATCCTTTAGACCTTCAAAAGTATTTTTAGTGTTTATCTGATGAGACTTAATCCAAGGTGTACCTGTATAGGACCAATCAAATTCTCTGCCCGCTATCAAAAGAAGGGCTTCTATCACTGAATTTCCGTTTTCTATAATTTTCATATGCACTGGAAGAAGAAATACACTTGCTGGAATGTGGATGTGCTACAAATGTCGTTTTTGAACTTGGGGGATTAGATTGACACGAGCACCTATTGTTGCTTGACAATTTGTTTTACTTTTCGGCACTCAGTGCGGATACAGGCCTTATCCGCGCGGAGTGGCGGAAAGTGGAACTTTGAGCACGAAAATGTGCGGGGAAAAGTATTACTTTGCGCACGCTCGTAGGAAAAATAAATTTATCTCCCATTATACCTGTTGCAGTTTTATAGATATTCCTGTAGTAATCCCCTTTAGAATTAAACGACAACACTGCTGCCTCATATCTAGTTTGATAAGAACCCCGAAGAGAGAAGTCAACTCTTTTACCTCCGAAGAACTTACAAACCACACTGTTGTAGTGTTCTGCCAAATTGTTATCCATATTCAATATAAGGCTACTCGTATTATCCAACAATCTCTTCAAATCCAGTATAATGTCCTCATAAATATCACATTCTCTCATAGCAGGAATTAAATTTCTTTCATTCAAATTATTACATTTGAAATAATTTAATTTTTTCCATTTAGCATGTTCACCAAACACGTGACTACGAGAATTACTTATATATCCTCTCAATCAATTGTTTTCATCAATAGTATTATTTTCCAGGGTTGGCAGGATATATATCAGCGATAAATATCCTGATATATATCATGATAAATATCATGATATTTATGCTATAAATATCCTGATATATATCAATAATATTTGTATGGTCTTTTTTTCCTTTTTTATAGTTTTATTATTTTATTTATGAGAAGGAAATCACAGGGATTTTATTTATTTTTATTTGTGTATAAGAAATATTAGTTTTTTAAAGCGGGTATTATGAAACTATTTTGACAGATAACTAAAAGTTAACTTCTCGAATCACTACGAAAAGTAACGTCATTTCAGAAGTTAACTTCTAGTTATTCTGTCAAAATAGTTTTTATAATACCCATCCTAAGTTGTAAATTTCTTTTTGCTGTTGAGTTCAGAGTTTCATTTTTTTTGTTGTTGTTGAACCACGGTTTAAGGCAAACATAAGTATGTAATATAAATAACATAAATGTTTCCATATTCTTAATCTGGAATTTTATTCACCTACTACACTTTACATTCCTATACATAATAGGAGATAGGACAGGAGCACTAAAACTTGTTATCGCCATACCAATTTTACATGTTTGTAACATTTTATTAAATTCACCATAAAATTATTTTGAATTTTAATACTATAGATAACAGAAAACAGATGAACTAATTTAAATAATTGAAAATATGAATAAATATCCAAATTTTGATATATATCCGATATATATCGATATATATCGGATAATTGGATATTTATATAAATATCATGATATTTGCCAACCCTGTTATTTTCTGAGATTCGATATGCAGTGGCCGTTGTAATCGCTGTTCTTAGTCGCATAAATTTGCTCAAAATTTCTTTTCGCGAAGCCATAGGAACTGCTATATTTTTATTGCTTCGGTTTCTGTCTAAAATATAAACTATATAAGTACAAATTATTTTATCAACGCGTATAGGTCGTAGATGGTAACTGGGTTCCAGATTTTACCGAGTACTTATTATTAAAAAAACTGTAGGTATAAGGTACATACTGCATATTTCCCTAATTTTCTTAGCAGAATTCCGCAATAAATGATTTCTCCATTGAACTTTTTGGACCAATGTGCTTCCGTAAGGTTTTTTTTGGATTAATTTTCTGTGTATGTACAGAGGAATCGCCGTCTCCGACCATTTTGGTATATTTTAATTTACGCAACTCTATGTTGGAACCTTCTGCTATGATATCTGTCTCCATAGATGTTGATATTCCTTGCCAATTCTTATAACATTTGTGAATAGGGATATCTTGACCTTTATTTCCATAATAAGAACATAATGAGCAATATTTATTTCTTATACCAAGAAATAAAACATTACCCGTTCTATAACCTATTATACATGCCTAAAATAAATATTTCACTCGATATAACAGGATAAAAAAGTTCGTAATAATGAACAACAACAAAAAAAAAATTATATACACAGATATCTCAAGAGAAATTACTTACCACACCAGACACATAATCATAATTTACATTGTAAGAGCGTTTAGCCCAAGCGCCATCAGTAACGACTGTGATACATGAAATAGCGTTCCCATCTACGTCGCCTTCTTCTAGAGATAACTCAGCTTCTTTGGCTGCGGCATTTTCCATGCATGTACAAGTGATTCTCTGATATATCCGCCTACAGATTCATGATAACGATTAAAGGTTTTTGATGTCATAAAAGGCATATCGAGAGAAGCTGCAAGCTCATTTATTTGCCAATATCCTATCCCGATTAAAATGGCACCCAATACCATAGCTGAATTCGAGTTTATTGTATCAAACTTTTCATCAGTAATAAATAAACACATTTTGCACTCGAGGATAAATGTACTGTGTAGACCATGTCTTATTTCTCGAACTCGAACTAGTTTCATATCAGCTAAAGTGCACAGTACGTGTCTCTCTGTATGTAGTTTATTATTGTTTCATTAGTATGAAGAATTGTAAATTGTTTGCTTATTCATTTGTTGGAATTATGGAAATAAAGAAATGAGGCGATCTCATCTTTCACTTGTGGAGGCCGACACCTTATAGTGTCAGACAAATCTTCTTCCCTGCTCAATAAACACGGGTGCCCGGTTTTCGCACTGCTTTGGGGCGGTCGGAAACCGGGGGCCTCAGGAGAGCGGAGATGGGATGGGCCTCCAACGGTGCACTGCGTGCTTCCCTAGGAGGTGGTTTCGGAAAATAGTTGGTGGGAAAGAGAAATGAAGTGCGAAGGGCAGGACACGAAGGTTGCCTGAATGTCAGGTCCCTACCTACTTGTGCTCGCAGTAGAAACCAGTTTGACAGCTCCAAACTGAGAGAAACGCCAAGGAGAGTGGAAACGAAAAGAGGGCCTGGCTGAGACCACGAAAGTGGAGGAGAGCGTGAGGAGGCCAGGGCTGGACAGAAATAGGATTTTTGGGGTGAGTCAATTAGTAAACAAACACCTAACCTAGAATTGTTAATAGGGCAGAGCGCCAAAATAGCAAGTGCCATTGACAGGATGGAAAGGAGCGGCTAAAGTTCCTAGAGAAAACCGACGTTGCCAAATTTATTCAGCCATACAAAAAGTGTGGTTATGTTTTATGTTATATTTTCATTAGTTATGGCAAGCAATAGACTTTTGGAAATTTAGAATAAAATTGAATTACTAAATGGAAGGAAACTAATCTGTGGGGATTTCAACGCAAAAAATCAGACATGGGGGGCAGATAATTGATGAACGGGGATTCTTTTACGGGCAATAGAATCAGGAATAATAATTATAAATTATCAAAATTCATTAGCAACCTTTAGCAGTACTAGAGATAAAAGTTGGATTGATCTAACTCTTGGAAGCCCTGGTATTGCTGAAGGTGTAAGTGACGACGAATCTTTTTAAGTAACCACCAATATATCATCTCTGAGTTGCCATTTTCGGAAGTAAAACCAACACATAAATGGGTGAATGATTATAATGGAACTAACTGGAATGAATTTGAACGATTGAATGAGGAATTTTAAGAGAATTATTGTTACCAATGAAGATGTAGAGAATCAGGCAGAACGGTTCTAAAACTACTGTACTTTGGCATGTAGAAGGAAAATTCTACTCGGCAACATCAACTCTGATTTTGTCTTTCTATTAATTATTAGTAATGGCACAATAACAAATTCTCATTTATTTTTTTCAACAGGAGAGTGGAAAAGAAGATCAGCTCCCAGGCCCCTCCAAGTCGTCCCGCTATGTTAGGTTCCCTGAAAGTAACTCTACCTATTTTGCCGCCGAGAACGATGGAGAGCATTTTCTGAAACTTGCCAAAGAAGAATGCGACAGACTTATGTCAATGGCAAAAAGCGCAGCTAATTATTCGCATGCTCCAAATTTATCGGAAGAAACCAGAGAAGAACTGCAGTTGTCAGTGAAAAAGCGAAGCTCCTAGTCACCGAGAAGATGGCCCAATTTAAACTACTGTGCCCAAAAAATATTGATCTCGTTAGTACCCGAGAACATAAAAATTTGGTACTTAGCTGCTAAATTCTTTTTATTTCAGAGTCCTGGTAATGCCCCACGTGTTACGAACAACGATCTGAAGGCATATTGGGAGAAATTCATGATACAAATGAATGAATTGGATGACCATTCCAGTGATATCCATGGGCTTTGAATTACAACAAAAAAAATTAGAAGACATGTAAACCAAATAAGACGAAGATTCCCGAACGAACACGATCAGCAACTTAGAACAATTTACATGACGAAATTTGGACGACAAAGACTATTATACAAAAAATTAATTAAAGAGAAAAAAAAATAAAGCCAATATTAAGGCCTTGGAAAAATTACCAGGGGATAATGGTTGGAAAAAAAATTGGGAATACTTAAAAAATTCAGGAATCAAAAAGGGAAAAAGGGACAACCAAAATTTAGACACAAAATATGACAATATGACAGTATATACTATAGGAGCTAAAAACATTAATTTTTGTAGCTAAAACCTGCGCTCGGTTTCAAAAAGAAGAAAAAGAAGATTCTAACATAATCTCTAATATTTGCATATTATTGTGATTATTATTTTATTAATTTGTTTAGTTTTGTTTTGTATCGTGCTTCGAAATAAAAGGGTTAAGTGAAAAGAAAAAATATTGAAAAATGCGTTCAATGTGTGTGGAGGAAGGCGAAGTTCGGGAACGTCGACATAAGTTGAATTTGGAAAGGCGGATTTGAAGTGATAAATTTACCAGCTAGGGATTCATCAAACTCTTGTAAATGAACTAACGCCTCATATACAAGAAGGTCAGAGAAGCATGAAACTCTTTATGGAAATCAGACTTTCAGCTGCTTAAAGGTTTTTTGCAACTGGGTCATACCTAAGGGGCATTGAAGAGGGAGGCAACATAGGAATATACCAACAATCTATGAACAACACTTTGGCAGAAATATGCCGCATTTGAGGAAATTGCTCCAAGATGGATCAAATTTCCTGACACTGAGGAAAGAAAACAAGAAGCGAAATTACAATTCATGGACCGATTCAATTTTCCAGGTGTGATAGGGGTAGTAGATGGCACACATGTTGCTATTTCACAGCCAGTAGAAGATGAACATCTGTACTTCAGCAGAAAAAGATATACATTTTTTTGGAATACTATGTGTAAGTATCTATCATAGACATGCATTAAAATGTATTCCCTTCTCTTATGAAAATATGCGCACCAGACGTTCTGCAACTGGGGCGCAATCAATTTTTTTCATTTTTATAGTATTTTTGCAATTATTTTGTAATGTATTTACAATTTGGAAATGATTATTTAATCTAAAATAAAATCTATCTTTTTTTTATAAATTTTTCAGATTTCACTTGAAAAATGTGCAGATTGTAAGTAATGCAAATTTGCATATACTAAGTGTCAATCCCAATTATGGAGGAATATCTCATGATTCTTTTGTCTAGAGGAACTCAGCTGTTGCAAGACACATGGAAGAGAACTTCAGACGAGGGGATCAAGGTTGGCTTCATAGAGATAGTGGATATCCACAACAACCCTGGCTAATGACCCCCATCAGAAATGCAATCGAAGGTACTCCTCAAAGAAGATATGATGAAGCACTAACCCTGGCTAGAAACTCAGTAGAAAGATGTATAGGAAAATTAAAAAAATAAATATAGGTATTGAGTTATACATATACTGTGTGGTGAATCTTCATATTTTTACCCAATTTTGATGAAAATTTTATTTTTAGAAAGTAGAGGAGTTTATTTTAGTAATGAATAATTGAGTGTCTCACTAAATAGTATTTTTTTAAAATATCTAGCCTCTACTACTATAGAATTTAATCAAGTAGATACTTAGTTAAAATTGATAATTTTTTTATTAAGGGAATGTCAGTGTGTAAAATCAGAAAAACTGGACACCCCCTTCTCAATATTTTTTAGCTCAGCTAATTGGTCTGAATGCATGATAGTTAAAGTAACCATTTTTTTGAATCTTTCTGTCCTTACAGGTTTTTTTATTTTTGTAGGACATGCCACAGTATTTATTTCGCGCTTATTCAGTTTATTTTCTTCAATTTTACTGTCGTTGTGTACCTCTGCTTTCAAAAAATGCAAGGATGGTACTTTGTCTGGAGCAGGCAATGTTTCTGGAGAGGTTTCTGCACAAGAAGATAATTTTGGTATAGACCTTTGTATTGATGACACGTTCGTCACGTTCATAGGCATAGGAGTCGAAATCGTTTCTGTACTGGATGAATTAGATGATCCTTCTGGCTGACTGGGTCCTTGCTCTTGGGGAGCGCATCTATTGTTCAATGATGAGTTGATTCCTGACGTCCTAACAGGCTTGAGGTGTAGGAGAGTTTTTTTTTTTTTTTCATCTGGAGGTAAGAAAATGTTTTATCTTCTGTTCAAAGTTCTGTTTAAATCCTATTTTCTTCATCATATCCCCATGAACTAACCAGCAAAATCGAAAAAAGAAGAGCAGAGCTGCAAGATTAGAAACTCAACCTTCAGCCGTTTGGGGTGATTATTGGTTCCTTAGAGAACCCCAAATATGTGATTGTTGTGGATCAGGTTCAGTATACTGTCGACACAGGAGTAAGAGCATTAGAACTGTTATTCAAGCTTTTTTACGGGATGGACATGGACCAAGTGTCAAAACATTTGGTACTTCATTGAGGAACTTATGTTTAACATGAAGCCAAGAAAGTCTTGTTTATCAACATACACAGTAGTTGCTGACACTTCCTTCCATTTTGAAGCCCATTAATGTGTAACCCTTCTTCATTTAATAATATTAGTTTTACTTTTTTTGAAATTTTGCCATTTAGTGGTTGAGTATTTTTTGACATGCCAAACTGCAGCCTGTGTGGCTTGACCTTTTTAAAGGTCAGCCCTTTGATCACTCATTTGAAAATTATTCACCAATGCCAGGAAAACTCAATATATCATTGTGCAGAAAAAAACTGTAAAAGAGTTTCGCTCTTTTGAAATCCTACAGGAAATATTTAAATGCCCATCCAAGCCCAAATACAAATATTGTAAATTCACGACATCCAAATATTGAAATTGATAAACCTGGGAATGAGAACTTAATATCACTTGTTGAAAATTTGGAGAACATACCTGCACCAAATTCAG